CGCTATGAGTCGGTTCTGACTCGATGGCACCTGACAACAGCAACATTAACACCACAAACAACAAACAATGAAAGAGACCCCTGGTGGCATAGGGGTTATGCATTAGGCTGTTGCATGGGTCTGAATCCACCAGCCCCTTGGAAGAAATATGAGATTTTCTGCTCCCTTAGAGATTTAAAGCCTGAGAAACTCTATACAATAGGGTCACAATGAGTCAGAACCAACTTGACAGTACACAATTAACAGCAAAAGGTCTAACAGATGTTTAATTGGAGACCCAGAAGAAGGTTACCTAAAACTGAATAGGCAGATAAATATGAGGCTTCAAAACGTTCATAGCACCTCTATAAGACAGAGCAGAACTGCTCCCTAGGGTTTCTGAGACTGTACATCTTTACCTAAACAGACTGTTTCAGATTTCTTCCTAGGACAGGGTGGTGGGTGTGAACCACCAACCTTGTGGTTAACAGCCCAGTGCTTAACCCATAGGGCTTCTTTATTTACTCACAGAGTGGGTAAATTATGAAAGGCAAAAAGAATGTGATTTCACAACAGCCCCCACAGGATAAAGGAATGGAAAAGTCTGGAAACCTTTGATGAAGTAAATGGTCTATGGGGTTTACTAAACAAGAAAAAGAAAAAAAAATTCATATTTGAAGAAATATTGGCTAAGACTACTCCAGAACTGATGAAAACATCACTTCACAGATTCAACTTTTTTTTGGAATCTCAGCCTGGGTAAATAAAAAGAAATCAACACCTAGACACATGATTGTGGAAGTACAGGAAACCAGAAACAAAGAGAAAAACTTAAAAACAGCTGGGCAGCGGAGGGGAGGGAAATCTTCAAAAGAATGACACTTAGATTTCTCAACAGTGATATTGTTGCTGTTGCTGTTGTTAGGTGATGTCATGTCAGTTACCACCACAAAGAAACACCACCTGGTCCTGCACCATCTTCGCAATTGCTGTTTGAGTCCGCTGTTCTTTTTCACTGACACTCCACTTTACCAAGCATGATGGTCTTCTCTAGGGACTGGTCCCTTCTGATAACATGCTCTAAGTATGAAACATGAAGTCAGGCCATCATGGTTTCTAAGTAGCATTCTGGCTGTACTTCTCTTCTGGAAGTACAAGTTCTTCTGGAAGTCCATGGTACTTGTAATATTCATTTCTAACACCGTAATTCTTCTATGATCTGCCTTATTCAATGTTCAACTTTCACATGCATATGAAGCTATCGAAAATACCATGGCTTGGAGTCAAGCACAACTTAGTCCTTAAACTGACATCTTTGCTCTTTATTATTTTAAAAGACGTCTTTTGCAGCAGAGTGGTCTAATGCAAATTTCTTGACAGCTGCCTTAATGAGTGCTGATTGTGAATCCAAGTAAAATGAAGTCTTTGGCAATCTCAATCTCTTCTCCATTCTCCATTTATCATCTTATTTATTAGTTCAATTGTGAGGATTTTTTCTTTACATTGAGGTACAATCCATACTGAAGGCTATAGTTTTGATCAGTAAGTATTTTAAGTACTCTTTGCTTCCAGGAAGAAAGGTTGTATTATCTGTATAACACAGGCTGTTAATGAGTCTTCCTCCAATCCTGTTGCCACTTTCTTCTTCATATAATCTAGCTTCTAAAATTATTTGGTCAATATACAGATTGAGTATGGTGAAAGAATGAAACCCTGGCATACACCTTTCCTGATTTTAAACCATTCAGTATCCCCTTCTTCAGGTCTAACAACTGCCTCTTGGTCTATGTACTGGTTTCTCACAAGCACAATTAAATAAAATGTTCTTCACAATGTTATCCATAGCTGTCACAATCTAAACAGTAAAAGGCCTTTGTATAGTTAATAAATCACA